CGACCGAAAATAACATGACGTGCCATAGTAAGGCCCGCGGCGTGCGCGGCGAGCGCTGCCGGTGGCTGTGGGCCATTTTTCGGATAAAACAACATTTTTCCTCGACCAACCATAAGTAACTGAATTTAACATGATGTTAACTGAACAATTAAACATTAATAGTTCGAGAGTTGCCGGGTAAAATGAAAAGTTATTTGATCACGATTTTCTTTAAACCTATCCGAACCTCAACACGGCATAGGTATACACTCTGGAACAGGAGTCGAACCCTACATCTTAAAAAATGACTTAGTGACATGAAAAAGAGTCGAGAACGGTTTTACCTCCGCAGGTGTTCGACGGAACTCGCAAAATGATTGTGCTATCGCGTTGATGCTTCGCGCCCGTGTGCGGTGCTTGTGTGCGGTTGGTCGTGCGTGCGGTACCTTAATATCCCCTTAACTCTTGCTGAATCTATGGAACTTACTTGAGAGGAGAAATGTTTATTTATGGTTGCTGAACCTTGAATATTGTTGGGAGGATAATATGAGTTCTAAAGTGTGGCAAAATTTTGGTCCCAACATCCTCTTTATACCCAAGGGCCGAGAGAGGTGATGATGGCTCGTAGACGTGGCCTTTTTGCTTGCCTTCCAAATGCTAGCACCTAAGTGATTATGTGGTGACTAAGCACCTCCTTAATTGCCACGTTTTGCACCAAAAAGTGAGGACAATTAGCTTTCCAAATTGTAAAGGAAGCTCACGGTTTTTTTTTTTTTAATTGGGATAAATTTGCACTAAGTCACGGCTTAATCACTAAATTGTGATTAATTAACAATTAATCACTAAATTATGTCTAATTATTCAATTAAACATAATACTTAATTATCAAAATTATTCCGAACGTAAACGGTACGTCGAAAATATATTTCGGTAATCTCGACTGAAAATAATTAATTCCGAAAATAAGAATCGATAACGTTATTATATCGGAACTAAAACATAATTTATACCGATATAATATCGGGATATTACACTAGCAATGCTAAGTATTTCCAAATAATGTCTCATTTTTCTTATTATCATTATAGTAAGTTGTTTTTGTGACGATTGATATATATTTTTAAAAAATATTATTAAAATCGAGGTTGGAAAAATGAGAAATAGTATATTTTTTAAAAAGGTAATTTTTATTTGTTTTTAATATCCTGTCTTAGCCTAAGTTATGACAATTTGAACAAAGTTAGGACAAAGAGAGATATAAGGGGCGCAAGTCTAGGTAGGCGCGCAGTTGATGCTGGTGATCTTTCCCTTCGCACATTTCAAGCAGCACCCTTCATAGAATTGGATGGTTTAAACTCCTTTTATTAATCTTAATTAATTACAAACAATTTTCAAACCCATTATTTTCCCTTTAAAATCCGCACTTGGAGTGTACGAAAATTTTTGCATCAGACCTCCAGTTTTTCCACCCTTTATTTTTCTCAATGGAAGAGTACAGAGGGGTAAGTCAGTCAATGCACCTAATTCCTTTGTATATATATGTATACAGTTATTTTAAAAATAATCATGGAAGGTATTTGTAATTTTCTGGATGTTCATCATGTGAATATTTCAAAATTTTCCGAATAAAGTTATTTAGCTGATATGTGCCAATGCAAGTGCTTCGTTCATTTTATATAATTTAATGAACAGGTACATATATATGGCAAAAGATATTCATTAATTTATTAATTCACATTTAAAAATGTTTTTTTTTTTCTGGTTTGGTGGTGATGCAGAGAAAACGTATGTCGTCTGTGCCTCAATTTGGAGCATGGGATGGAAAGAGCGAAACAAATTACTCGGTCGTATTCTCGCAAGCTCGTGCCAATAGAAGGTTGGCTCGGCACAGCCTTGGTCACGAGCGAGAACTCCTAAGGCAACAATACGAGAATTCCGTAAACATTCATGACCTGGTAAATACATCCTATCAACAAACTTTTTTATTCTGAAAATAAAAAAAAACAAATATTAAGATATTTGGACGTATTTACTATGCATTTTAATTCAAACGTTTGATCTGGCAGCACAAAAAGGAGAAAAAGAAAAAGAAGAAGAAGAAGAAGATGGGGTCATGCCTAAGTTGTTTTATTAGGATTTGACTTATGATACATAAAATTTGGTCTATACCAGGGAACACATAATTTGCTGGGTCTTGGACAATAATTTTTGGCAACCTCGGGTCAATATAGTAAATTACTAGATTTATTCGAAAAGTATTACTAATCAGATATTATCTTTTTGAAAAAAAAAAAAAAAAAATGCCTGTGTGCATCTTGGTTAGTGAATTAAACAACATGGCAATGAGATTTAAATGTTATTTAATACAAAGTCTTGTTTGGCATATTATTCCATCACATCACATATCTCGTCGTACATTTTTAAATAAAAATAACATATTTATACAATGAAATGTCAACATTTTATATAAATTATTTTTTAGAGTATGATATCTTATTTTGAAATACAAAGGTTAAAAATATGAATATCTAACTGTTAGGTATTGCGTATAATCAACCTTATTGATCATAGGTTGTTATTGGCAGAGTACTAAAATCTGGCTAGAACTTTGTCTAGGATCTAAGAGGGATCCTAGCGCCTCAATTTTCGTCAAGGCGCTCCGACAATTAGGTGGCGGTTCCAAAACTAGTCACACCTAGACTAATTACACAATTTAGGCTGCCCGCATATTTCCATATTTTATTTATTTCTAAACTATTATCAAAATAAATTTTCATTTATATTTGTAAATGTATGTTAATTATAAAATTAAGAAGTATAATTATTTCAAACTAGTATAATATTTAGAATTATATAATTTTTAGAAAATATTTATATTTAATTATACATTGTATATATTTCCTAAATATAAAATGTGGTTTGCAAAATTATTATATTATAAACAAAATATCAATCTACCGGTTGTGTCCAGCACAACCGGCCCATATTATTCTATTATTTTTTTAATTTTTTTTTTCGAACGATAGAGAAACTATATAAATAAAAAATGCACAAATGTGCGAATAAAAATGCAAAGCTCCCAACGGAAGAATAAAATGGGAGAATAAGTCATGAGATCGCCTAGAACCGACCCCAACGGGGTAATACTCGGACTTACAAACAAAACACGACAATGAAAGCTCCCAAAGGGGAGAAAAACAGACAACAAAAGGCCCAACAGGGTAATGCCCGAGTGTCGGACCTCAACAGGGTAATAAGGTGACACTCGGGCTCACAGAGGCCAACGACCCAAACCTAAAACACGAAACACACAAAACAGGAACAGAACAGAGCAATACACAAACAAATACTACAACCTAAAAAAACTAAACAACATAAACATAAACATAAGCCACCCTCAGCAAGAACATCCAGGAAATATAGCAAACAAAGCCAGCTCCGAGGAGAGCTCTGAAACTCTGGAACCACGCCCGCCACTGCAGAAGGCCTAGCAAGGCGAAGACCGTAGCCTCCGAACAAACCAAAAGAAACCGACTCTCTCACCAACCGCAAGAAATCACAATCTCCCCCCAACAGTATAACACCACTAGTCAATCCGAAACGGTCCCAAATTCGCCTAACACCACTAGCCAAATCTGGAAACAGACGGCCTCCCACTAACTCAGCAAACGAGCAGAAGGAGGAAGGGGACGAACGACCTCAGAGCTCGGCCGCAGCGATCCTGCCAGAAGAAACAAACTCAGCCAGAACCAACCACCTATCCACCCAGCCTACAAGGACAAATCCCGGCCCAGCCAAACCGAAGAACCGCACCGGGATGACCTACTTGCCCGGCAGTAGAAGAAGCTCCAAACAAAGCTCGAATCCAATCTCCCCTATCAGCCCCCGTGGATGGGCCAAGGCCATCCCACAGCCACAGCACTACGCAGGCTTAAAGAAAGTCGAACTGAAACCTGCAATTGTACAAAGACCGGAGATGCGGCCGTCGCCAATGGATGGAAGGGGGAGACCTGAACAGAGACGACACAATCAACCTAGCCGCGTCCAGCCACTGGTACTGCACTCCACCTAGCCTCTCCACCCTGAAGTTCCGGCGAACGATCCCAGGACGACGACTTCGACGAAATCCGCCCGAGATCTGCAACCTCACCCCATGGCGAGAGAGAGAGAGAGGTGAAAGCACCACACCAAACAGTGGGGACGCTCGGCGGTGAGCAGTCCACCGGCTAGCCGGATGGCCGCCGAAGGAGGACCAATTTGTCGGCAATCGAAATTAGGTTCTGGGAGAGAAGGGGGAGCGAATTTTTGGGAGAGAGAAGGCTCATTTTTAATGAAAATTAATTATTTTTATTATTATGTAACAACATAGAAATAGACATGGCCACGGGCGGCCCGGCCCGTGGCCCGACCCGTGACCCGGTACCGGCCCGGTATGAATAGTGCCCGGTTCAATAACCGGATCGCAGCCAATCCGGTCCGGTTAAGGGTCACGGTTTTTTTTGTTTTGTCCCGCCGGGTCGGGCCGGGCCGGGCCAAATCCTTTGATTTTTTTAAGGGCCGAACCCGGGCCGCACCGCCGAGTTGGTGAACCGGCGGTTCGTGGGTTGGCTGGCCCGTGGCCCGAAGGGCCAGGCCAAAACCCGACACCTGGCCATATCTACATAGAAAGTTTGAAATAAGGAGAATGTAGTTGGGCCTGGATTTAATAAAATTGTATTTATTGCAATAATTTATAGTTTTAGAAGCCCAATAATTCAGCGAGTCAAAAGTTTGCAGCAGGCATGATTGGAAACAAAACTCATTTATTTTGTGAGGGTCTACAATTATATTTTATGCTCTATGTATATCTACACGGAAAATTTTTATTCATACTACACAAAATTAAAGAAATTTCGAAGTCACCATTGAATAACAATAACTTAGTATATATCTAATGGACCAAAAATAATTAAGTGAATTTCCGCGATGTTACCTGGAAAAAAAATTAGTAAACGGAATCCTCATTTGAAATGTATATCAGACCAAGTTAAATGGAAAGACGAGATTTTAATTTGAAACGTATTCATAATTGCGAAACATACAAATAATAAAAAAAAATTTTGATAGGAGATTGAACGGAGTTTCCAGCCTACAAAAGAAAAAAAAAAAAAACTGAGAATGGATCAATCGGAGTTTTCAACAAGAACAGTTCATGGAACATATACTACAAAAACCATGAATTCATGGTCGATAGAATGGAGGTATATTTATGTGATTTTAACTCATATTCAAACCTACATGATTTTGTGTTCTTTATTTGAATGTTTATTTTTGGGATTTTATCGTTTCCAACAAGAATAATTCACGGAATATGTGTACTTTTTTTTTGTAGATTGAGTCGAGCATGATAATTTTCATACATAATGGGGGTTAATGGATCATGAATGATTACATGAGTTACCGTCTTTTGGGTGTTTTGGTACGAAAAGATTGCAACTTCAAATAATAATGTGGTATATTGTATGTTGAGTTTGGGGTGATGTCTCAATCATCTGTCATTGAACTGAAATGTAAACTGAAGGAAGGGTGTAACGCCCCGTTTGAATAAGAATTATTTTAGTTTATTTTGATTTCCCTAGTATTATTATTAT